TAAATCTAGTATAGTCACATCCAAGTTTATCTCCAAAATTTTAAGTCTTTTAACACGCGACGAAAACTCTGAAGTACCGGCGCATAATAATAGCAGGATGTAAAATTACAAGCAGTGCATAACTAATAATGCTAAAAGACTGAAGGATCTGCAAGAACTTACTTTGGAGCTTCTTGTCCATGTACCTTGAATTTACCGGGAAAAAAACGAGTTAAAATCCCATCAAAACAGAGAAGCAGCAACAGAACAAATCGAGCTCGAGATGAAAGGAGGGCGTGGTTACTTCTTCAGATCCGGAGGCTGCCCTGACCGGCTCATGGCGACTCCTTAACTTGATCTACTAGTACAACGTTCTCCCTGCCCAACCAAACCGTCTTTTGCGAAGACAAATACAACGAAAGCGGTCGCCGCCGCCTCGAGAACCCAGAACCCTAAATAATCCAGGGAGCGAGTGGTTAAAGGCGGTTGCGCCGGTTTCTCTCGGAGTACTGCTACGTCTACTACACAAGAGGTTAATCCGACACTGGCATGCGGGGCCCGTGACGTAAGGTTAAACACGAAATGGTACTCAGAGCAGCGGGGTTTGTACAAAACTCTCATCATACAGCCTGTTCGGGAGGCCGTATCGTATCGTGGATTATTTACTGCTGGCTGGTTTGGTGTGAGAGAAAAACACTGTTCCCGACTAAAAATTTACGATCGTTTACGAGCAAGCGAACAGGCTGATAACCGCCCGCCCAGCCCATCGCAGGCGTGCGAACACGAAGCTCCCCCTATTTAATTTTTTATCGCCCGTGTATTGCCACGGGACAGTAAAACTTTTATATTAAAAATATATAGATCGCAGGATAAGATAGTAATACTGTAAAAATTAAATATCAACGTGGTCAGCAACATTTGTTTATTGTTTTCTCACTTCGGAATACAAAGATAACTATGTGCTTTAGCTTCACACATGTTCCATACAAAAATCCATTTGTCATATTCAAGAGAAATTAGCACAAGCCTCGTGCAAATTAAAAATTTGACATCACTGGATCAGATATTAGTTATCCTTGACATGTACAATGAAATTGATTCTTACTAGTGAATGTACCAATAGTATATTCATACAACGGTGATGCAAAAACTTTGCATTCAGAATGACCAAATAATGATCCTGAAGACATCAATATACAACTCACATAATTGTCTACAAACAATGGTAACCAAAATCGCCTAATTGAGTTGAATGGTCGATGGGTATTACAATAGTAAGGATAATTCTATCTATTTCATCAGAGAAACAGTAATGAAACCTTCAGGATCTCAAACATAGGCTCCGTTCGGCTTGCTGAAACTTGGCTGAAAGTGACTGAAAACACTTTTTTGACTGAAAATGTTGTGAGAGAAAAACATTGTTCCGGCTGAAAAAAGAAACCGAATAAGCCGGATATAAGGTAAGCCGAATGGGGCCATAATGTAAAGTATATTAATCTAAGAGGATGTAGATGATTTACTGGGAACCAAAGAAGATGTGACAACCATCTTGGTTGAATCATGGCCGGCGCCTGTTCACAGGGGCCAGATATTATCCAGGAGGCAGATTCATATTATTATCTAGAAAAAGCATGACATAAAAAAAACAATTTCTTGTTCAGGAATCCCAAGAGTAATAATCTATGTTTCATACTGAACTGCTAATCTATTCGACACTAAGGAACTTAGTCACCTTAAAGAACATGTCCTAGTCAGTCCTACTCATAGATGCATCGACAACCTAGAGCTTGAAAGCTGCATTCTCAGCATCAATGAAATTAAGTCATAAGTGCCACTGCCTAACCTAGCTGGAGGGGTCCACTGTTGCTGACAAAGAATGATTGTTGTCACTGCAGATCTTGAGTTCTGGTAGTTGCACTGGTTATGCAGTGGCCATGTTTTTAGTCAGGATTCAGAGGTGGACTCTGTCATTCCATGTCAGTCTACTCAGCCATCTTTTTACCAATCAAATTATGAGGACAGTTTCATGAGAAAAACAGTCAATTAGATAAGTACAAAAAATATTCATTATTAGAACATGTGGTCCTATTGGCAACTATCTGGAATAAAGAGCGGTTACCATCATTGGTCAGGAAATCCAAAAATACCATGAATTACCTATTTACAAAATAGGTTATCTTGGCTTCTTATGTAACCACTCCATAGTTCCACTATAGAACTCGCTTGCCTCTTCCAGGAATACATATGAGAAAAATGCACTGTTCCCTCTTACTAATCAGTAAAAAGTCAAAGATAAAAAACATGTCAGATTTGTACAATAAATCGAGAATTACCTAGCATGTCACACAAAACTGAAACAAACGAGAATTACCTAGCATGTCATACAAAACTGAAACAGAGCCAAGTCCCAATCCCAGACAAAACATGTCTATAGATATGGAAGCAATTTACTCTTATCTAGCATAAATCTAAACACTATTCTTGATTTGCGTAGATAGTAAGATCTTTGTACCACGAATAAGAAACTTCTCCAAAAAAAATCTAGCAATTTTTACATCGCTCTGCAGTCTACATCCATGAAACCAGTTTTAGAGGAATCGTAAACACAACATTACTTGACCCGGACATCCATGAAACCAGTTTCCTTAGCATATATTTTCAAACTTCAAAGCCCCTTAAATCCAATAGCACCACTTGTAGTGATATGTACCGATGGAAATTAAGCACTAAGTATGTGATAAAAAAGTACAATAACAAGATATTACCGAAGGTGAGAGGACACTCAAGTTGTATACCTGTACGTACCAAACTATCATCAATACATAAAGAACCTGAAAGATTTGTTACCTGTGTGCTATTTTTCTATCTTGCCTTAGCATCCAACCTCAAAGAAAAACCCACCAAAGACCGAATGTTGACACACAATCTCAATCATTTATAGCCCACAAAGATCCTTCATCACATCTCGCCAACCTAAACCTTATTCTCATCACTGCCATGGCATCGGTCAGAACTATCTGTTAACAGAGTCTAGTAATAAGAAAAATGGTATAGGAAAATAAGTGATTATACTAATAAAATTGTGAAGTTGTATAGAGAATTAGTATGGGAATCAAATTAACATGTGATACAGATGTTGCCACAGGGTGCCTGATTCCCCTCTGTCGGAAAGGATGAAAAACCTGCACACGGCGTGGCCATCCTCGACTCTCTTGAAGCAGCACCACACTCGGTACGATCCGGATGGCCAATGAGGGTAAAGCGCGGAAATGCAGGCGGCGCCGTGGAGCAGCGTGAGGGGAGCGCGCTGGCGGGTCGCCGGGTTGAAGATCTGGAGGCCGACGGCGGCAAGGAGCAGGAAGCGAGCACGTGGAGGTCGTCTCGCTCGTCGTCCGCACGATGGTTGCCACTTGCCGGTGCGGTGGTCCGACCATGGTGGCACGACCACGGCGTCCACTCCGGCCGAAGGACTGCTCCTCCGCCCACTGCACCGCCCGGAGCGCCGTCCGGCCACCGCACGCCGACCACCGCGACTGAGCGGCCGAGCGACGGATGTCGCCGCACGCTCGAAGCCCTGGGAGGAACGTAGGATGGGAGAAGGCAACGCCGCGGCGCAGCGAGCACGGCCACACGCAGGGCACCATGCTCGAGCGCCCGAGCGCTGCACGCCGCCGTACGCTCGAAACCCCCAAGCCACGCCCCACGCTGTGCCTCCGAGCAATCCAGGACCGTGAAGGCGCAAGGAAGGGAACCACAACCCACAATCCCACCTTTCTTCTCGGCGTACGACAGAGCTGCGGTATCACACGGGGTGGGAGAGGCATACCTAAAATAAATGTCGCACCAAAAAATCTCCACGTTTTATTCTTTTTAGTTGTATATAAGATAATCGATGACAACTTCTGAGATAGCACTCTTACGGTTGCCACTACATTTTTTTTACAGTAAAGAGAGAAAAACGCTATAAAAATACAACATTTGCTCGTGTGGCACGTCAACCCTCACGTTAGCATGGATCAAGTCAGCACGCGTCTGTAAAATGTCCCTCCTACCCTTGCCTTCTTCCTACTCTCCCAGCGTGGGCCCGCACTCGCCTCTCTTGGCTCCGCCTCAGGTTCGTCATGGACGCGCTCGTCTCCTAGCTCCGCGTGGGTTCGCGGCCTCATGCGCCCCCGCCCTGGATGAGCTGGGGTGCTCCGCGCTCGCACTGCCGGCGCCCCCCGCGGCCGCGGCCGTCTACGCGGTGGCGGAGCTGCTCAAGTCCGGCGGCGGCGGCGGGGACCTACGCGAGCGGGCCGTGGCCACGCTGGCCACCCTCGCGTCATCCGACGCCGCACGGTCGTCCCTGATGCAGGAGTCGAGTGCCCACGCCTGTGCCGCGGGCTCGAGTCCGGTGGTGCAGCCCCGACTGAGAACGCGTGCGCGGTGCTAGCGGCTCCCACTGACGACGACGTCGCGGGACGCGGCCGTGACCGTGGCCGCGTGTGGCCTACGCCGGGGTGGTCCAGAACCTCTCCGTGAGAGGCGAATGCGACCCGCAAAAGCATCCTGGCCGTGCCCACAGCCGCGTGAACGGCAGAGACAACATGCATGTGGGTAGCTTCATGGGGTGATGCCGCTGCGTGAGCGATCAATGGCGCTGAAGTGATTCGTTATTCGTTTCCTGCCTTCTGGTACTTTGTGCCGTTGTTGATCCTTGGCGAGGGAGATTCGCAGTTGGAGTTTGGCCGTAGCGAAAGCCATCTATGCAAGCAAAATCCAGGGGCTGGAGCTGCCTGACTCTCTGGTTGGCCCGAAGAACGTTGCGTTCGACGGCATGGCACCGGTTCCTTTGTGAGCGTCAACGACAACCGCGTCCTCCTGTGGCACAGCACCGTCCGAGCAGGGGGCTCCGGTCGCTTGACGGGGGCTCTGCGACGGCGCGGCATGCCAGGAGGCAAGCGGCAGCGAACAGGGCCGCCGCTGGCACGCGCCTTGCCATCGCGACGGCGCGCGCGGGGGAGCTGAGATGGGGCCGGGCCATGACGACGAGGGGAGGCGCGGGCCGCTGGCGAGCCTCCTGGCAGTGCGTTGCGTCGCGCGCTGCGGACCGACCTGGACCACGGGCCAAGCAGAGCACGACGGCGCCGACGTCCACCACGCTGTCAAGAACCTGGACCACGGTCCAAGCACAGCTCGACACCGGGCGCGGCAAGGACGACCACAGTGAAGAGGCCCCGGCGGACCTGCACGGTGGTGGCCGGGTTCCCGAGCTCTCTCGGCGGGGCGGTGGTCCCAGGGCGGGGGAGCAGCAGGTGAAGAGGCGAGGGCAGGCCTAGGACGCGAGGGGAGCAAGACAGAGAGGGTGTGGATGGGGCGGAAGCCGTAGGCGTCGACGACCCCGGAAGCCGGCAGCTTTTCCGTGGGGGCGCATGCTTTGCACACTGCTCGACAAGCATCGACACGGTCGAGACGCGGCATGGGTGGAGAGGAAGAAGGCAAGGGCAGGAGGGACATTTTACAGGCGCATGTTGTATTGGATCCACGCTGGCTTGAGAGCTGACGCGCCACGTGTAAATGTCGTATTTTTATAGCTATTTCTGTCTCCGCTGTTAAAAATGCTATATCAAGAGTTACCATCCGTTACGATGGTAAAATTTAAATATCCCTACCCTCGGAGCTCTCAGGCGCGGAGCGCTCAGCGCTCAGCGCTCTGGAACTCTATCGCGTAGTACGGATTCCGCAGGGCGAGGAGAGATGCGAGCAGGCGCCCCCGCCGGCGATGCGGGCCCCAGCTCCGGCGTCGGTGCCGGGAGCAGTACGCCCGCTCGGCCACGGAGGTTCCCCGGGGCGGCGCAGCCGGAGATCATGCGAGCGGCGGAGAAGGACGACAGCTACGCAGCCCACGTCACGGAGGCATGCCGCGACGCGTTCCGGCACCTCTTCGGTACGCGAGCACTCTCCAGTTTTCCTAAAATTAGCTTCTCCTTGTGGAATTGACTGTGATTTGAGGTGTTTTGGTCTGTAACGATGATGATATAGGTACCAGGGTTGCTGTTGCTTACCAGAATGAGGTGATAGCTGGTTGGCTCTTTTGACATGTCCTTCTACTTATGCAGTGGAAGTTGGTTCGGTTACTGGAACCTATGCGCTATACGATTTTGCTCTCATGGATTTTTGGTCTGTTAAATACGTTATGAGCATTTTTTTTCAATGGGTGATTACGAATGGTTTATATCATTTCCATGGGATGAATTTTCAATGGGTCATGGGATGAATGGTTTATATCATTTCCATGGGATGAATTTTCAATAGGTGATTATGAATGGTTTATATCATTTCCATGGGACGAATTCTCCAGAGTATATGGATCCTATCAGTTTTGTATGCTGGGTTATACCATTTAGCTGTTGGATTGGCTGTTGTATGGGGTGTTGTTTGATGTGAATACTTCATACTCTGTTCTAGTTGTCACTAATGTGATGTTTTTCGAAAACCTAGTTAAATTGCATTCAATTCTTTCAATTTGGGTAACCATTTTGTTGTGGGGGTACTTAGAAAATGTAAACATATGGTAAATGTCTGGAATGTTTTTAAGTTTATTATTTATTAATTAAAGAGGTATTATAGGTGGTACAACTAGTCTTCATTACATTGCGAACAACTAATGTTCTCAAGGTAGAACGGTTGTCGCTTATGGTGTTGTATCTAATACTTCATGCTTAATGATGCAAATGGGGCTGATTCAATAATTTGTAAATGACTTTTGAAGTATATGTCACCTTTGTAGAGCACGGTGGTTGTTGCGCTTTATAAAGTAACTGCAAGGCCCTTTCTGTTGCTTTGAATGACATGTTTTTATTCCATAGAGCTGCCAGATGTATGAATTTGACTATTATTTTTCTTCCCTAGTATTTGCTATTGTTCAGGGGGGCGTATATAATAAAATGTGGGGTGACTTAGATTGATTTGATCTTTCACAGATAAAATTGCTTGGTCAATCCCTTTACTACTTGCTAACAACTGGTTCAGGCCAGCAAACACTTGGCGAGGAATATTGTGATATATCTCAGGTCATAGCACCTTTTTCATCTTTACCATTATTTTTTCTTTTTTTTCTTTTCTGCTGTTCAGCTATTTGATTCGGCATTATGCTTTATATTTATAAATCCTATTATGCTTCATCAAGTTGCCTCTAATGCTATAGTTTTCCAGTACATATTTGTTGGACATGTATTATTATTTTGTTTTGCATAGCAGTTACAGAGATCATGGGACAAGGCAAGTTTTAATCCCTTAAACTTTTGTAGAAGTCCACACAACCCTTGAACTGAAATTGGTTATTATACCCGCTAAACTTCAGTTACATATCCCTTAGGACTCCAACCAATAGAGCAATGGTCTTGCTAGTATGGTTTTGGGGACGAATTGCCATTGAGGAGAGGTGTCTCCCAATTTTCTCCCTCTTCTTGCATGCATTTACCGTTCACCAGCAAAGGAAGGTGTTGAGTACTACCTCCGTCCAGGATGGACTTATTCCCGAATAGTGTGGTTAAGTAAATTGACTTTTTTTACTGAGGATTTACTTTGCACCTGAAATTAATAAATACACACTAAAAATCCCACGAAGTAAGTGATAAGAGGAGACTCGATATAATAAAGGGGGCAGACCCAGTGCCAGAGGCTCCCACATGAGTGGGGCCTGGGGAAGGGAAAAACCGAGGCAAGCCTTCCCCCCGCAAAATCTGCGGAGAGACTGCTTCAAACCCGCGACCTGGTAACTCAGTGAGACAGCTCTCACCACTGCATCACCAGGCCTGCTCTTCAGACTCAATATAATAACTAATGAAAAAAAACTGTTCCCTTGTACAAATTTGTGGCCCATAAAAGTTATTCACAACAATGCTATACTACTACACTGATGCTGTCCAGTTGTAATTGAACTATTCAGGTTGCTACCTTGCATGGACTTCCACCTACTCCTGCAAGGCGGATCCTATTCATTTTGTACCAAACTACTGTGCCCTATCTTGCTGAACGGATCAGGTTTGAAACAAATAGTTTATCACACTCCTTCAACCATTATTTCTTGCAGAAAAAAGGTTGATTAGATTTTACTATCCATAATGTTAACAGCTCCAGAATTGTTGCCCGTAGTATTGCGCTCAATGAATCTCAGTTTGATGATCATCCTGAAAGTGATAATTCTAGTAGTGACATTGCACAATCCATCACAAATAGTGGCATTCCTTCAACAAGCTTAAGTGTTTCTGCTCTGTCAAGGTTAAGAGGCCGAGTTTATGCCTTGTGGCAATGGGTTCTTCAGAAATGGCCTTCAGTAAGATTTTTTTTCTAGCTGCTACCTTTCATCTGTATTTTATCAGCGGGGAACTAGATTCACTCATAGAGGTATTAGCATGACAAAATGGTTTTCTTGCCTAATACTTTTATGCTATCTACTTTATGTTCTTAGATGCTGCCATATGCTCAAGATGTTATACAGTTGGCTATCCGGACAAATCTAATGTTCTTCTATTTTGAAGGTATGTTGTGTTCAGTAGACTGTAAGATCAAATTGTAGTTTATATATATATGATTGAGGACCAGTGGATTGTGGATTTGTGATGGGGAGGGTAAAAACTGAAGAGTTCTGCTTTTTGCATCCTGCTTGGTAAAAACATGGACTGATTGTGAGTTAGTAGGCAAACGGAAATGCCTGGACTGGGTCTTATGAAATCTGGTCGTCATAAGCTATAGACCATAGCATTTCAAAAGAGTTGTGTGATGCACTCTCAAGATCTGCTGCATATCCGAACACTTCATATGCTCTTAGTTTGGCATTCAATTTCATTTGTTCAATGCATCAACAGTGGGCTTGAACTTCTTGGTAATAGTGTACCACAAGCTTAGCTAGTGTGGTGACTTTGATTTGTTAGGACCTGATAGTATTTCTTATTTATTACCTCACACTTATATGTATATGTACTATACTTTTATCTGTGACATTTTTTGGTATACTCCCTTTGTTGTAGGATTGTATTATCATTTGCCAAAGCGAGCAGCTGGTATTCGCTATGTATTCATTGGCAAGCCAATGAATCAAAGGCCTAGGTAATGTTTTACTTATTTTCTTATCTACTTTATTTTTTGATACAACAAAGGATGTCATGAATTTACATGTCAACAAATGAATTTACAGATCTCAATTACTTTATCATATTCATGTAAAATGTTTCCCTTTTGAAAGATTGAAATTCACCAACAGATAAAAGTTAGCTCGCAACCTTTTGCAGGTATCAGATCTTGGGTATTTTTCTGTTGATTCAGTTGTGTATTCTCGGAGCTGAAAGACTCCGAAGAAGTAATATATCGTCAATAGCTAGTTCCATTAATCAAATATCATCTGGAAGCTATCCATCGTCTACAGGTGCACTCTCTTGTACTTAATTTGTCTTATACTGAATCTTCTGGGCTCATATGCCGAATCTTAGAGTTTACTTGCTTATAACGTAATACAGATACTTAACTATTTGTTTCTATTTTTTCGTGGTAAATGTTAAACCAGGTCGGGGCATCCCTGTTCTAAATGAAGATGGAAATATCATCAGCGACATCCGCAGTGGTAAAGCTGCAGATATAGCTTCTCATTCAGAGGTATTTGCTTTGTCAAATAAATTTTGAGTATTTGGCTATCTTTGTAGTACACTACCTTCTGATAATTGTATGATACTCCATTAACTCAGCTAGATATTTACAGAGGGAAACAGGTTTATACTACCACATAGTTCTTTTTATACACATGCAGAACAATTTGTCTCAGCCATTAGTCCACAAATGTTACATTTAAAAGTTACAGATTGAGTTACATGTGCTTTCAACCGTTACTCTTCAACTATACTTGTTTAGTTTACTGTACTGTATTCATGGATTTGTGTAATGCTTACACTGTACTTTATGCCTAATGTTCAGGCTTCCAGTGGCAAGAGCAAATGCACCCTCTGTCTCAGCACCCGGCAAAATCCTACTGCCACAACCTGTGGACATGTTTTCTGCTGGTAAAAGTTATTTTTACAAATTACAATTGATCATGTATTAAGTCTTGACAGATATAAACTGATATTCATCTATGAACGCTTTGACAACTCATCACATACCATGCAGGAATTGCATAATGGAGTGGTGCAACGAGAAGCCTGAGTGCCCCCTATGCAGAACTCCGATTACCCATTCGAGTTTGATTTGTATATATCATTCAGATTTCTAGGAAACCATTTCGCACAGTAGGAGTCCATACCATACTTTGCTGGCGTCAAAATTTCTTGACCATATTTCCAGACCATATTTCGGCAAGAAATCTGCATGCCGAAATGGTTTCGTATACTGAAGTGGGAGAAGAGTACAAGACCACTTCAAGAGGTTGAAGATCAGACAAAGTTGCATACAGTAATTTGTTGTAGGGTTCAAATTTCAAAGTGCAGTAGGGTCCACAGGAAGTAGAAATTATTTATTGGCAGTTCGGATAATAGATAACCTGTATTGGTATTGGACACCAATGTGTAGAACAATGGCTGACTCGAATCATCGAGTTATTTAGCAATATGTTGTTTCCATTTTGAGTTATAGTTGTTAGATTGATCTCCACCAGTTGGTCCAACGATCAATTGGGCCATTGATCCGCGCCCTGATCGGGGGCGTCCAGCCGTTCTCCTGGCTGATGGTCCCCCGTCGCGCAGTGCAATAAATAGAAGGTGGGGGCTGGGGCTCGAGATATGAGATTCACCGCAGCCGCCAGCGTCCCACCATGTCCTAGCCCTAGTCTGATCTAGAAGGGCACGATGTAAGCGACGGGAAGCGCCATCACCTTCGCCGCCGTCACTGGACCGCGTCTCCACGTCGCTGCTACCTCGTCGGCGGCGCCATGGCCGCGACTGCCCTTTTGGTGAGAGGTCCAGTAAAATCTATCAATCCACGGCTTCCCCGACTCCAACCCTAGTAACCACTACGTTGCTACCTCGTTCGCGACACTAGAGGCGCGTCGCGCTGCGCCATTGCGAGGTACATCACCAAGTCTCGTATCTAAGTTATGTTTTTACCCACTGATCTGCGCGAGGTTTCAAAAATCACTATCAATGGTATCGGAGCCATGGTTTTTAGTGTGTAGATCTAGATCGGGGTAGAAAAGTGAAAAGAAATTAGAAGGAGATGAAAGATTTCAAGTTTCCCAAACCCTAACCCTAGATCATAGAACAGAGAGGAGGAAGGGACCTACCTGGGTTCTTTCCTCACCGTCACCACCGCCGGCCGTCACCTCCACGCCGCGCGGGAAGTCACCCCGAGCCGCCGTGGGCGCGAGGAGAAACAGTCTAACCTAACCCTAACCCGAGAAGGGGAAAGGATGGAAATGGGAGGAACTCACCAGGGCTACTCCACCGCTGTCGACACTGCCGCGCGTGGGAAGAAGGACCCGCCGCGCGCCTCGCCGGCACGCCGGAAGGAAGCGCCGCGCGCGTGAGCACAGGCTAGGGCACCATCACAGGATCGCTCGACGGCAACGCGCTCACCCACTGGGGAGCGCGCGCTCCGGTGAGGGGGCCCACGGCGGCGCCGCACTCTCCTCCTCCGGCTGCCTTGCGCGGCCACCGTTACCGTCGTCTTCGGATGCCGTGCATGAGAGTGAAAAGAAGGGGGCGGGGAGAAAGTGAAGTTAGGGTTTTTGGGGAGCTCCACAGGCTCGGGAGTAAAGGGCGTCGCCACAAGGCCGCTCGACGGCGGTGCGCTCACCCTCAGGCGAGCGCTCGCGTCGACGAGGGGCCCGTAGCAGCGCCGCCACCTCTTCCTCCGGCCGCCATGGGCGGCTGCCGCAGTCGTCGCTCTCCGTCTCGGCACTGAGGAGAGGAGAGGGAGGGAGAATGACGAATGGACCTAGGGTTTCCACGGGAGCGGCCGCGGCGCGGTTTTTGTTCGGTCGAGACGCGCGGACGACCGTTAGATCGGATCCAACGGCTGACGGAGGATGGACCAGATTTGGTCCAAGCGGGGCAGCGGATTCCTGGCCCAGGCCCAGGTTGCGGCCTGGGCGCGGGGGAGCGGGCGCGAGCGCCGGGTGAAGCAGGCCACTGGGCTATGCTTTCGTGCGCTGGGCCGCAAGTGCGCGTGCTGGCGAGATGGGCTGCGGGCCGAATTTTCTCGGTTGGGCCAAAATGAACAGAGTAAATAGTTTTCAGTTTTATTACTTTTCAGAACCAGTTTTGATGAATTTTGAATCTCTATCAAAATTTGAACCAACGGGATAATTTTTTCGGAGACTAGATGAGTATAGTGAAATGCTTCTGAAAAGTAAATAAATTATATTTTTCATGTTTCCGCTGCAAAGTTTAATGCGGATGATCTTCTAATTAAATTCGAACCAACAGGAGCATTTAATTCGAAAAACAGTTATATTTAGTAAATTATGATTATGTTTATCCTCTAATCAAATTGGAACCAAAGAGAAAATTTAAATTAGAGTAGTCCAATTTGTTTAAGTTAAATTATGTTATTGTTATTTTCTGACCAACGTTGATGATAACAATATTATAATTTTATGAGTTTAAGTTTGAAGTTTAAATCTCTGATAAAATTTACACCAACATGGTCAATTTTTTGGAGAGTAGATAATGAACAAGAAATGCTCCTGAACTAATAAAATATATTTTATTCTCATGTTTCCACTGCAATGATGTTGATTATCTTCTAATTAAATTTGAATCAACGGGAGAATTTAATTTTGAAGAGTAGCTATATGTATTTCAAGTTGATTTATGAGTTTTATGCATTAATTCTATTTTCTGTCCAACGATAATTTAGAATTGATATAGAAGCATATTGTATGTTTTATTTTTAATCGACGAGATCACTCGACTGCATGCCAACAGGCTGCAATGTTGGGCTATATGAAAGAAAAGGATGGAGTCAAGCCAGTTCAAGGCTGTTTTTTGTTAGTCTATTAATTTTTTGATTAAATTGGAACCAACGGAAAGATTTAATTGGAAAATAAAATATAAGTGAATGTTTTTATGATAAGAGTTGCAATAAGTAATATGCATGTCTAATTTGACCAACGTTGGATTAAGCATGCGTGTTTGTATGTAGATTTATCCCGCATGGGGAGAAGTTTGGCATAATACTTATGCTAGTCAATCTTGCATGTCGGGAGAAGTTTTATGATGACTCATGTTTTTGTATCCCGCATAGCGAGATAAGTTTAGGTAGCTCTTATGCTATTCTAGTATTGACCATGGCACAATAGAAAATGCACCGTCATGGTCAATACTAATCAAAGGACAAGAAAAATATGCAAAGCGTGACTTGCAAAAGTACAGTTAATAAAAGACCTCGTTAAGTTCTTGAAGTGGAATAGGGACAGTGTACTCCTATATGGTTTAAGAAATAACTTTATTTGCATGGCATAATCATGTGAATGAAGTAAGTCATAAGGGTCTCCTCGTTCACAGTTTTTTTGAATAGTTCTCAAAATTATGACAGTAAAGTTCATGTCATATTTCGAGAGAGAATATTAAGATCAACTAAGAAAAATACTCTTCATCAAGAGTGAGATAAAGATTAATTAAGTTGAATGCGACCGTTGGAGGAGTACAACGATCACAATAATAATACGCCTAAGTAGAGAAATAGCTAAATTCCTGGATCTTTTAAAGTTTCGACAGGAAGATAGTGTAGTCAGCGTCAAAGATGTTAAGGTGGTGCTTAAAGCGCCATATGAGGTTTTAACAGATTAAACCCAAAATAAGATATTTGAAGATACACTATCTTTAGAAAAGATGGAAAGATCTAGGGGAGCATGGTATGTAGAGGTATGTAGAGACTTAAGATTTGAAGAGAAGAGGGACTACGTGCCCACTCCAGTGACTCAGAAGCAACAAGTTTCTCAATACCAGTTGATGTTGTATGACTAATACAACACCTGTTGTTAACTTTTCGAAGAAAGATGAATAATGTAAATAAGGATCTTGTAATACAGGACCCTATAGAATCAATTGTCTCTTGGCAATGAAGAGCAACAACAGCCCCACATGAAAGTGTCAGTAGCTGAGTCCCCAGAAGGTCTCAAAGAATTAGTAAACCAGTTTTCTGATGACTATGAAGTCTATATTATTGAAGAAATTCAAATGGAGGGTGATACCACCTCATTTGAAGAAGCCATAATAAGCGTTTACTCATTTGAATGACAAGAAGTTATGGAAGTTGAAATGAATTCGATGAATACCAACGATATTTGGGACTTAGAAGAAATTCCTAATGAAGCCAAAACAGTATGCGGTGACAGGGTCTACAAGACAAAATATGACTCCAAAGAGAATGTGGAAAGATATAAAGCATGACTTATAGCAAAAGGCTTTACGCAAATAGAATGAATAGATTACGATAAAAGTTTTCTCTCCAGTCTCATGCAAGGATTCTTTTAGAAGTGTAATGATGTTATTGACACATTACGATTTAGAGTTATATCAGATGGATGTAAAGACGGCACTACTCAACGGGAATTTGTATAAAAACGTTTACATGGCACAACCCAAAGATTTTATCGTGGAAGAAAAAGAACGTATGGGATGTCGTATGTATAAATCTATTTATGGGTTAAAACAAGTCTCTAGACAGTAGTATTTAAAGTTGATGAAATGATAAAAAAATTTGCGTTTTAATAAAATGAGAAGGACAATATCATTTATGCGAAGTTCAAGAATGGAAAATTCTTTTTCCACATCCTATGTATAGATGACATCCTACTCACTAGTAGTGATGTTAATCTGTTATTGGAGAAAAAGTTTTATCCTAAAGTTCCAATGTGAATAATCTTGTTGACGCGTCATTGGTTCTAGGAATCGAAATTCATTGAGATAAAAGAAAATAGGGTATTAGGACTATCGCAAAGGTATACTTAGAAAAGATTCTAAATAAATAAAGTATGCATGCGAGTAAACCTACACCTGCTCCTATAGTCAAGGGTAAAAGATTTAGAAACTTTAAGTGTTCTAGGAACCGATATGAGATCGATCAAA